ACTAAGGAATAAAGTTAAATATAAAATTATTTCTATATTGACATTTTACTCCTATGGAAGTGCTCTGTAGAAGAAAATTTGATCTAGACATTTCATCAACGGGGTGCTTGCAAAGCAGAGTGAAACCAAGTTGTGGTTTTTAGGAGCTGAAACATTGGGTAATTCCTGTTAAGCTTTTAAACGGGTAAATTTAAAACATTTTACTGTGTTCTGTTGAATTCATCAGGATGTGATAACTTGTAGAAAATTTTATTAGCGTCTTTCATTTATACTTTTCCCAATATCTATTCAATTCACTTTGTTTTTTTTTTATCGTTATCACGGATAGTTAACACTGTCAATATTTTTCATAAAGTAAGTAAATTCTAGGTTGTTTACTATGTACGGTTGTTTTCTTTTTGCAAATCTAAAAATAGGCACTAATTGAGATGTATCCTTTATTTTGCCCGTGAAAAGGTGAAAACGTTCAACAAAAATTAGGCTCACTTGCTCAACGCTTTTGTTATTACTAAGAAAAACATGGTAGCATCGAGGCAACTATCGAGTTTTTATTTTGCCCTGCACATCTATTAGCAAATAAATAAACAGTTTTGGTTCCCTTCTCGTGAAAATATCCAAAAACTTAAAAAAGGTTGTCGAAATTTGAATTATAGAATATTGTTCTTTCGTTTGATTTGGGTAGAAAAATGACTTTCTTGCTATGTGTGCCTTATATCTCCCTCTTTATATGTAATGCTGCTTTGCTCCTTTGGCCTATGTATTTATAAGTTTATATTCTTGAATATACGCCGATAAGTATCTATCGTATATTTCATTTTTATTACAATACAACATTAGAGAAATTGTTAAATCTGGGCTGAGATTTCTCTAGATGGCTGGAATATCACTTTCTACAGTTGAAATTGGATAGCACGCCCACTTTCTAGTGAATGCAGTACTATTTTCCGTTGAAGTTTTAGTTGATGTTTTCTCTTGACCCCTTTTTGGTTTTTTATTAAATGGGAATGGGCTAGATTGTCTGCCAAAGACCAGGCAGAATCTGAGTCACTGCATTTTGCACAATGTATATGTTTTACATATAGAGGAGGATTATAAATGATAATAAAAAATAAACGGGTAATTAATAAACATTGCCTTGATTTAATACGAACAGTTTTCACCAAATTTTGTTAATTGAATCCATGTCGAGACGAAAAGGGGATATTTAATCCAAATATTTCTTTTATGGTGAGTGATAATTCAGTGGTTTCCATTAAAAAGATATAACTCAACAACATTAACTAAATATAGCAAGCAAAAAGGCGTAATAGTCGTCTAAAGTTGTGATAGAGATCCGCTCTTTTAACAAAGAGGTATCATTTAAGGAGAAAGAGTAAGCACATTATCTCACAAACAAAGTCGATTTTCTGAGATACGCCTTTTCGTATGCAAGGCGACGTATGAGCTTTTCCCTAGTTTTTGGACGACGAATCGCCCTCCGAGGTTTGGCGTAAGTTTTCGGAAAACACTGTGTGTGTATAGTGTCCATTAATATTAATGTAAATTAACCAGGTACAACCATACGGTCTGATGGTTTTGGTTGCGTGCCTAGCACATTGGGAAAACCGAATTTTGATTTTATTTACCATATTTATATCTTTATATTTATATTTATATTTATACGGACCGCCTCCATAAACAGACCGCCTCCATATACAGACCGCGTCTGTATACGGACCGTCTTCGTATACGGACCGTCTTTGTATATGGACCGTCTTCATAGAGAGAACACTTTCATAAGTAGATTGTTTTCACAAAGAAATTATATTTTTATATAGACAATCAATTTATCATTTTTTTTAAATACTCGCTCTACTGCGCTTCGGTCGTGATTAAACTGTTTGAAATAATATTTTTATATTTAATTAATTTATATTTAATAAAATTAAATAAAACTGAAAATGAGATGTAAATGGAAATATCCGTTAATTAATATAATTAATAAATATATATATATATATATATATATATATATATATATATATATATATATATATATATATATATATATATATATATATATATATATATATATATATATATATATATATATATATATATATATATATATATATATATATATATATATATATATATATATATATATATATATATATATATATATATATATATATATAATATATATTATATAACATATTTAACCATATGTTATATAATATATTATATATCCCATTACCTTTTAAAGGTGCACGTGAATAAATGTGTCGAAAAGCTTATAATTTTAATCAAAACTTTCCTTTTCAATTTAGTATTTTCAGTGCGGCTGTTTCTGGCTACATCATTAACCATATTAAAAAGCACAAGTTCTTTGAGGAGGTATATTGAAAGAGACTTATTTACCTAGTAACAAATCCAGCAATCAACTCTGGAAACAACCCTAAAATACAGCTAATAAACCTAAGCAAATATAAGAGGATAAAATTACTCGGGTGTACTTATTTCTTTATAATCGTTCCCTCAAATACGAATCTGGAAAAGCAAAACGAAATTTCAATTAAGAGTCTTTTTGAAACGTCCGGTTTCCGTTCCTTTGAAAGCAGCCGCGATGGGAAACGTTTTTGTGTTTCGGAATTTTCTAAATTTTCTTTTTCGCTCTGACTCGCTACAAACGCAATCGTGTTATTGGTCGTTTTGTTAAACGCGACAGCGTTGTTTAATAGGTAGGAATTTCGAGTCAGTTTATTTGATATTTTTTACATTGATTTTTTAATAACAAAGTTTCTTGTGGACTTTTTGTATGAGAAAAAGCTCTCGGCTCAAAGCATTCAGCTTTCTGACGTACAGACTACAAATATTGAACTTGAAAGATAAAATCCACAACAGCTTTTTAGAAAACAAAATATTTACCAGCAAATTCATAAGTAGAAGTACATTTTTCGTTAATGCTGTAACTTTTTCAGAGTAACTAAATTCATCTATATGTACAAAAATCAATAATCATTAAACAGTCATCTATGTGTAAATACTGCAACGTGCCTGCCGCCAAATTGCAAGAGATTTGGCAGATAAAATTACCCATTTTTTTTTTACGAAATTGTGCATGGAAATCGGCGTAAGGCGTTTGTTTTAATAAACTTATGGGTCTGACCTTTTGGTTTGGAACCACGAAAGATGATTCCTAAAATTCTAAATAAATAAATAACAAATTAAATAATAAAAATGTAAGTGGAAATGATGTCCAAAAAAGAACTGCAGAACCTCACACAGACAGAACGCTCAGCCCTTCATCGCAAATCTTAGTAATTGCAGATGAAAATTTGGCCTTCCAAATATATTATTACAAAAAATAGCAACGTATAAAAGACTGTAGGTATTGCAAAATATGACTAGAAAAATTAAAGACTATTATAAAATAATATTCCATAAACCATTGTATCTCAGTAGCTAATCTAATTATTAATCTAAATTAAAGAGAATGCAAAAACCAAAAAGTTCATTTTACATTCCAACGATAGAGAAGTGCGAATCATTTATTAAAGAAGTTGGAGAAGCCAAGAAAACTACGAAAAAACAAACCTTCAATACCGACGTCTTAAACGTTACGATGTGTTACTTGTTGGGGACATTAATAAGTTCATCTTGCCATTGGCTGAGTGAGTTACTGAAGTGAAGAATTATTTGAAGTGCTAGATAATGCTCACAAGGAATGTGGTCATGCTGGAAGAGATATTATGATTAAAGCACTAAGCAACAAATATGCTAACGTAACTCGAGAATACATTATAGTTTACTTAAAGCTATGTGAAGCCTGTCACAGGAGAAAAAGGAACCGTAAAACCGCTGCTATTCCGAGAAGTAAATTCGAGAGACGAAGTCGATCTTATAGATATTATTATATAGATTATACATCTTTCGAAATATCTAGTTTTACGGCCACTAAAAACGAAAACAGCAGATGATGTCGCTTATTGTTTAATAAACATTTTTTGTATCTTGAGAACTCCTTCTGTGTCCGATCAAGGATTTTATTCAACACTTCAGACGAACATTATTATTTATCTTGTTTTTAATATATTAAGATTAAACATTTTTGCATTAAGATAAGCAATTTAACACTAACAAAATCTAAAAATTATAGTTTATTATAACAAAATTTAAAAAACAAACTTTAAAAACAAAATTCACCAAAATAAGCAGCAATTTTTATCTGCTAAAAATACATGCTGAAATATATGTAGAAAGTGTATCGTGTCTACCGGGCTTTAGGTGCCATTTTTACAACGCTAAGTATTTAAGTCCCAAAAAAGTTTAATAGGAGTGAGTTATTAAGATGTAATTGATAATTTAAAAGGATATTTGATTTTTTTTACAATCTACAAAATTTGAAAGTCTTGATTGAAACTAAGACTAAATTATGATGTCCTTTTATTTGTTTCACCATTACAAGAAAGTTTATATTCCCCATCTTTTGATCTTATTTATTGGCATTTTTATTTGATATTTTTAATTAATCTTCCTAAATAATTGTTAGCTTTAAGAGCCATTTTTAAATTATGTTTTCATAAGAAGTTGGACACTTTTCACTGGAGTTTCCGAAATATGTTAAAATATTATATTTAGAAGGAGGTTCTTTGAATATTGGAAAAATCATTTTAAGCAATTATGGTAATGGTTTTTTTTTTGAGTATTTTGTCTATGGTGTCTATTGAATGGTATGGCAGTATAGTAAGGGTTATGAAAAATACCATTAACAATTTGCCAAACGCGTCTGATAGGTTAGAAATTTGCAATTATGTACATAATATTAGGTAAGTCTCAGCGTACCGCTCTGTGAAACTCTCCATAGAAATAATTGGTTAGTTATAGTGTCATTATAATATTCTGGAGTAGTTCTGGTTTTCAAAAATTTAGAATAAGTCTGAGGTTCGTTACATATCATATTCCGGACAACGATTATATCCTGCCTATCTCATTATGTTAAATTGCGTATTCTTTTGCAGAAAGTCCTTCTAGTCAGAAATACATCCTCGAAACAATCACCATGACAACGGTAACTCAACAGCAAATTCTACGCGAAGCGGAAGAGGAGAAAAAACACCTTTCCCAAAACTCCCAGTTCCCGAACGGATCGCCTATTGCGGGCATTCTGAAAGGCGGAAGATTATGGAAACAGCAGAGCAACGATGGAAATGTCAAAATAAGCGAACAAAATTTGACGGTAAGTCATCATCCGGTTTTGCACGGCAGCTTACGTAACTGTTTCCACCTAATCCGATATATCGGATTTATTTCGTATCTGTGTCGGTCTTTGTCGTATATAGTGTGCCACGTGGCTGTGTACCGGATGTCCAGGGTTCACCGTTTGTTTTTTTCGTTTTTATGGCATACATTCCATCCTATTGTTATTCACAATTGAGTTCTTCTCCTTCTATTCTGTGCGAAAGGAAAAAATATCGAAATCACTAGTTTTACATGGAAAAAAAGGTAAAGTTTCTTAGGTTACGGAGTACTTTTACAGCTAAAAGAAGAGATAATATTTAAGTTTTATCCTGTTGAAAGCCAATGGCAAAAAAAAGAAAAGAACACAAAGGAAAAAAGGACATCTTTACAAAGCGTATATTCTCTGCATTTCAAAAAGGACAAAACAAAACAATTTTCTTCTGGATTTAATTTATAGAATTTGTTGCTTTAAGGTGTAAATGCACCTTTCCCCTCTCTATGGCCCAGTTTATTTTCAAAATCTGTGTGTCCATACCCCGCAATAGTAAAACTGAATAGACCAGAGATAATATCTCAAACCTCTTTTAAGGAGATACACTGAGAGATTTCCATTACACACGGCTAGCTTTTTATCGAACAAATCATATCTGATTTTAAAAATCAATGATTGCCGACATCCTTGTTTTTTTGCAGGAGTTTTATTATCTAGAATATCCAGGCACTATATTTGGCTCTAACAGCCGTCATTTTTTTTGCTAGACTTCTGTTTTATCGCACCTTTTTGGTCTGTGTGTCGTTTAATGATACGCGAATATCTTCTTCGTTCTCTATTTTTCTGAGCTCGGCAGTCGTTCTTGGAACGAGTGTAAATTTTAGTTTTCAACACTGCGGGATAGTAATGAAATTTAAATTTGCAATGGCAGGAATCATTAAACAGGGTGGAGAACAGATAAATGGGAAGGATCCACTAATTTGCATACAGTACAAAGGCTAGTATGATGAATAAAAGTAATGTAATAATAATTAAACATTTTACATTAAAGTACATTCTTAGACATGTGCAGATAATTAAGAGATTAATTATTCTAAGAGCAAGTAAATATAAATTTATATAGACCTATAGAACTACCATTTACAATACAACTTCATTTGTAAATCTTAGTCCTTAAGCTCCGAGTAACTAGATGAACTATAGTCCTTGGAGGCCAGAGAAGACATAAGTGATTATCAGCATCTCATGTTCTTTGTTCCATTTCAATCACAAAATCCACACATTTACTCCATTTTTTACAATCCACTATGTTTATTCTCTCTCATGTTAAAAATGATCTCATGTCATGAAACTAACCCTTTTACCATACCATCGGATTCAATTCACAGGGATATTTTTTTAATCTGCGAAACTAGTAGGAATTTTCTCACTCCCCTTTCTCGTGACTGACAAATGGCGATTCCTTCGATGGCGTTTTTAGAGGACTGGGTGATTTCCTCCTGGGCACTATATTTCTCGCGACATGTTAAAAGTAGAGTTTACTATATCGAAAAGCAAAAATGGCGGTCTAATGTCGCTTTACATCCATTTAACATTACCTCATATATCTAATTGCCTTGGATTTTATCGTGCATTGACCGAATAAGGAAGACCTATTGTTAAGAATGTGAAATAGAATCTAAATCAATTGCTACAAAACAAAACCAAAGAAAATGAAAAAGAAATGGGACGGATCAGTGATATGAAATACCGTGATTATATCTTTCTGAAATTGCTTGTTATTTAAACCCAATTAATGATGTCATTTTTTTTTCAAGGAAGCGTACTTTTTTTTCGGATGTTCTTGAGGAATAAGATTTAACATCAGCATTCAAGTTTTCCTGAATGTCTCTACTAACAATTCCATTTCTGCCACCACTATGAGTTATTATTATTCAAGAGGGTGCTTTTATTCCAGTGCTTTTTAAGTTTTTATCATGGCATGTTTTGTCAAGTTTCGTCTAAATAATAGACATTCCCTTTCTTACGTTAGAAACTTAAGTGATCTCATAACACAATTTATTCTTACCAATGGGTGAAATGAAATCACCTTTTTCCATTTCATGCGTTATTTCCATTTGTTTGTTACATTTTTTAAATATGAGTCTATTATTCTTTTGATGGCAGCCTTTTCATCCTCATTTATTACAGCTTCTTTTCTCCCTATGCTTCTCTGTGATTACCTGAGGGGCCGCGTTTATCCTATACTGTTGACTGTCCAACTTCAGTCATATTCGAACACATTTCAACTATTTTTGCAATCCTGAATGTTTTAAAAACGCAGTTTTACTAATATGTTTCTCAGCGACAAATTCATTGACACTTGTTATTTTCAAGAAGGAACTTTGCCAAAAAGAGCTAAAAAGTAACTATCATTCTAATTTTAAACACTAAGGCACAGGTAGGTCAACTACCTGTCTGTCTACCTGCCACTCTCGGCACCCATGCCAATCATCGCGGCAAGATGAAACGTAACGTTGGAAGTTTGACGTCGTACGGATTAATAAAAGTTTACGGAATTTGGAACCGTTAAGAAAACAATGAATTTAAATCGAACTTTGCCAACAAATCGCCAGGATCTAACTATAATTTCAATTTGAAATATAAATACTAAGACACAGGCACCTGTTCGTCCATCTGCCACTCTCGGGATTTTTTACAATTATCATGGGTATAATAATATGCCTATGGAGTAAAGCTAAGACCACTAATTAGTTTCGCGTGGTAATAATAACCTTAAATTGTTAAGAATTCTTACAAATTCCCACACGTCTTATTTTGTTCTCCACGTTTCAGAACGCCGAAGTGACCACGTCGGATGACGAAAGCGGCAGCAAACGGTCGGTGCGTTTCATCGAATCGACCGAAACAAAGGAAAAGCGCGACGTGTGCGACGGGGCTCCGGAAACGTCCCTCGAAGAGGGATCGTCTAAACAGCTGCAGCTGGAACCGACAGACAAAATCGACAACGCTGCCAACAAGCATCCGACTGAGAATTCCAGTTCGCCCGAATCAACGGAAATGATGCTGACGTTTAAACTTGGAAGCCACGTGTTGATTTCCAACAACAGCTTGAAGCCGAATTCGGCTGTAAGGCAGCTATTCCCATGCGCCCAGAGTTTGGCCGCAGCCCAAGGAGTCAGGGAAGAAGAGAACTCCCAACAGGTTCGAGACCTTTCGTTCCTAATTATCACATGGGGTCGCTATACTTTTTTTTTTTAAACAAATTTTTTTTCGTATTTTACTAGGAGATTAGCATATAAGTGAAGAGTTTTGAAACTTAAGATTGGTATGATATAGATATAGTTCAATAAGTATAAAACTTAAAATGTAGATATTCACAAGATCAGTGAACTGCAACAAATATACTGGAATAGTCACGCCATTGGAAGTAAAAATGCATTTTGTTATGCAAATTTTATTTAGTGTTATACAAGGTAATTTAATTTGTACTACACGAAATGTGCACAAAATACAAGGTTTTCAAGAAGTTTTATTTTTCGGATATGTGAAGTAACTTTGTAAAATGATTTCCATACTCTAAAGGAAGTCCCAAACAGTGTTGAAAGTATCAAAGTTGAACTTTGTCTGTGATCAAAGATTTTTCACATTTAGATATTTTGAAAATGTAATCTATAAAGTTGTTCGGAAAGTCATTTCGTTTTTTCCCGTCAGAGGACTTAATTACGTTTTTTCGAAACCAACTTCACACTTAAGCCGCATAACCATTATATGTCTTGAGAGCTGATATTGCAAGGCTTGTTTTTGGTTGGTGCCCTTTTAAATATGGAGAGCAATAAGCAGCATTTTCGTCATATTTTACTTTTTTACTTCAGAAAAGGTAAAAATGCTGTCCAAGCGAGAAAAAAATTGACGGATGTGTATGGAGAAGACGTGTTAACGGCAATTTTGATGTCGAAGATGCACCACGGTCTGGAAGGCCGGTCGAAGCTGACAAAGATGCGATAAAGGCATTAGTTGATGCAAATCGGCGAATAACCACACGAGAGATCGGTGAGAGATTAAATTTGTCGAATTCGACTGTTTATGGCCATTTGAAAGGCATGGGCTTAACCTCGAAGCTCGATGTGTGGATGCCCCATGTCCTTACGGAGCGAAAATTGTCTCGTCGCGTTGACGTGTGTGATTCGCTCCTCAAATGTCAAGAAAATGATCCATTTTTGAAGCGGATTATTACTGGGGACGAAAAATAGGTTGTATACAACAATGTTAAACGCAAGAGGTCATGGAGCAGAAAAGATGAACCGGCTCAAAGCGTGTCAAAAGCCAATATTCACCAAAAAAAGGTGATGCTCTCCGTTTGGTGGGATGTCAAAGGAATCGTTTTTTTTGAGCTTTTGCCGGACAATACAACGATTAATTCAGAAGTCTATTGTCATCAACTGGACAAATTGAATGATTCACTTAAAGAGAAGAGGCCCGAATTAATCAACAGGAAGGGTGTAGTGTTCCACCAGGATAATGCGAGACCTCACACAAGTTTGGTCACTCGCCAAAAGCTTTTACAGCTTGAATGTGACTGCAACATCCACCATATTCTCCAGATCTGGCGCCTTCCGACTACTACTTGTTCCGGTCCCTGCAAAATTTTTTGGATTGTAAAACCTTTACCTCAAATGAAGATGTCAAAAACCACCTGAACCAGTTTTTTGCCAGCAAGGACCAAAACTTTTATGAGAGGGGAATTATGTTACTGCCAGAAAGATGGCAAAAGGTGTTGGACCAGAATGGCCAATATATAATTTAATAAAATATTTATTCATTATACGAAAACTGTCTTTCATGTTCCCCAAAAAAAACGAAATGACTTTCCGAACAACCCAATAATTTTAATTTTAACATGAATAAGAATTATTTAAATTATATCGGCAAAATTTACATTAGTTTGTAACACAATATTTTTTAAATTACCAATTAATGTACTTTTTATTTACCTATCCAATTTGGTTAGGTGTCCTATATCAAACTCGTCGTGTTTTCGGTTTTTCGATAGGACAGCTTAAAATCATTCGATAGATAATTAAAAAGTACAGTCTTTGATAAGGTAAGCAATATGAGGTTTCATTTAAATTGATCTTTAAGTTCTATTCTCTTAAACATGCCATTAGATCAGGATACCCTTTTGACCACTCTGTATATCATGGAAAGCCTTTTACAATTTAGATTACAATATCCATGTCCATGGTTACATTATATAGTAGATTTGGCTTATATATATTAAATTTTCTGATTGCTATTTTTAAAGGTTACCATAAAACTTCACATAATTCAGAAGTAATATCTTTTATATATAAATACCGCATTTACACCTACTGAATATTACACGAACTAGTTTTGTTTTATAAATAAATAATAACCAATCGAATAATTTTTCAGAAAATAAAAACTATTGGTTAAATTCACATATTTACTATAGAGAGAGATACTTTTGTAATTTAAATATTTTTGAAATAACACTCCAGAAAAATATTGCTATTTTCTGACTGTTATTTTTTTTAAACGACAGAATATTTTCAATTTTGTGGTATATCGATGTGTATGTGCTTGTTTTAGAAGATTTTTTAAAGACTTCTTGATTACCAAATAATAATGGATTAATATTTTTGGAGAAATATATACTTAACTAAAAATAATAAATCAACGAGGATACCCCATTCTCACATGTATATAAATGGGCTAGAGAAAGAGAATAATCCGCAGTGCTAGCCGTTGTTTTCTATTGTCAAATTTCGCTTTTTTTAGATGGAGTTCACTAATAAAGAACGGTTAATGACAAAAATATTTTCAAGTTAGGTTTAAACCTATTAAAAAATTATTATTTCAAGTACTTGGCCGCTTTACCCAGACAGTATATTACTGAAATATTTTTAGACGAATTGATTTTCTTGTCCTATCTTAAAAGCATTTTTCAGAACTTGAATTAACACTTCTTTAAAAGCTCGATTTAATTTTTTTCTTCGAAATATTGTTATATTTATTAAAGGCTATTATAATTTTTTTTCTGAAATGAAAAAAAAAGTGGACCAAAGTTGATGTTGAGAAGGAGAATTTCACAATAGTCTTAACTCTTTACTTCCTGATCTTGTCGCTTTTACTGGGTATAAGACCAAACTTAGGGGGGTTATTTTTTGTCATTTTAATGCGAAAAGTGTGAATAAGTTCTACGAACTTTTTTCGATAGTTTCCCAACTCCATCAATTCGTCTACTGGTTTAGCATTGCTTCGTCATATATATAATATCAAATTGAAAGCTGTATTTTTGGAATCTTTTATTTTTCTGACAATAGCAGACCAATTTTAATAAAATGCGAATCGTACGGATTCGCAATCAGAACGAACGTAACGCCTTTGACGTGATATTCGCAAATACCTGACGCATTTTCATATTCCAAAGTCGAGTGCCTATAATAAGATTTTCGCCATTCGCGCTTGCAGAGGCAGAAAATCAATTTGCACCGGGAGCAGCATTTATTTTCTATTAAAATACGTTGGAGAATTAACGCGATGCTTTTCGTGCTCGACGACAACAACTTCTACAATTACAATATCCCAGGCTGCCGACGTTATCGATCTAGCTCGTCCTGAATGATGATCCGTTCTTCTCCCGCTAACCTGTAGCACGCGCTCTCATTTATCATCGGCTATTTTTATTCAGAAAAATGCGCGGCGCTTGTTTAATAAAAACGATGATGGTGTTCTGTGTTGTGCCTTGCCGGAGCGATCTAAATACCGGATACAAAGGATTTTGAGACCCTGTTTTTTCCTTTTGTAAGTCAGGCTACCTAACATTTATTGTAGAATATTATTATAAAATAACACAATATTTAATAACGAAAACAAATACAAATTACGTACAAAGTAAAACACCTTGGTAGTGCTTATCCAGCTACATTAACTAAACAATTCTAAGATTTCTCTTGTGTTGGTTGTTTATAAATCAAACTTGCTGACATTTCGCCAATCATATTTTTGCCTTCTTCAAAGCTTAACTGAAACTGGCTCGCGTTCTACTCTGTACCTGCTTGTTGTATTGTTTGAAGGTGGCGGAGCTAAACGCTAAGCTATATTAAAAAAATAAATAAGAAATAAAAGTTCAGATTTTCACGAAGTTATATATTTTCACATGACAATTATTTCGACAACATCGTGTCTTTATCAAATGTAATATTTAAAACAGGTCCGTACTTTGCTTAGAATTTAATTATTTTGGGTTTTGTTAGGCAAGATACTAAACAATATTTATTTATTTATGTATGTATTTATATTTAAAGCTAAAATTAAATTACAAATTATATTTATTACCTACTTAAATTACTTCACATAATATTATCCTTTAAAACTGTATGCTTTAGATTTTTTGCATAATTATCACAGACGTATTCCTTTTGTAGGTTCAAGCTTTGTAGAACCTCAATTAATTGCTTTTTGGTATAATCTTCCATCATCCAACCATCATTAGAGCCAGCATGCAAAAGAGTTATTCTTTTACCTCTTTTTGATGGCGCGCTTGGACCCTTTTCCGGGGTATCATAAGTGTCGAACCAGGTTTCATCCAAGTAAATAATTGGCCTTTGTTGTTCTCTGATAATCCTAATTTTTTCTAGATATTCCAGTCGACATTTCCGAATTCTAAAAGATTCCATTAAAATCTTTCTTTTTGTTAATTTTTTTAGATTTAGAACCCATGTGTTGAATACACTTCCATAAGGTAGTTCTGCCACATTTAACACCGGTTTCATCTTTTTCAAGCCTCCTAATTAAGATATCTAATGTAGGCACGCTGTGTTCCTCGTATAACTGGTAAATTTTACGCCGTATTATATCTTGATCACTTTCATCTACACTCGAGAAAATGTCAGCATCGCTTCTTTTTTTCCTCGCTGAAATGGGATTATTCACAATTTTCTATACTGTTGGTGTTGGAATTTTCGTCAATGTGGTCGTTTCTTCTAAATATGCTTGCTCGCTGGGACCACGTTCAATGAGAGTCAAATAAACATTGTTTATAACTTCCTTAGTCTCAATAGAATAGTGTTTTCTACATTTGGGAGGGGGCATCTCCTGAGATACTCTTGACTCGCACATATTTTGCATAATTCGCACACGATTTCAATACACGCTGTATTACACATGAAATAAGAATT